ATATAAGTTATTGCACACAAGTAATACTAAAACATTTTATGCTCAAAATCCATTATTTTTCTTAGAACTCCAAGGATCAATTCCGTTAGACCCAAAAATTTTTTAAGAGAATTTCAAAATTCAATCAAGTCAGTCAACCGGCCGGGGTAAATAGCCAGTTAACTCGGTCAAAGCCGGTCAAATTAATCTGACCGATCGGTCCGAGCCGTTTTTAATAACTATGATTAATTGTCATTTACTATTACATATATGTCCTTTTTTATTTCATCGCATTTTTATCTTTAACATTTTATTAATTAACAAATCTCGTCGTCGATAATAGTTTTCATCCAAAAATTCTATGAAAGTGCTTTAAAATGAGGGACAAATATTTGGTCAGAATTTTGTATTTGTTTTTTCTTTTCCTTTTTTGCTTATTTAAAAACATGGAGGACAAATAAGTCTTTTATTTCCCAATAATAGCTTTTTGGACAGAAGGCGTCATCACAGACAAGATATGCAAATTAATAAAAGGTTTGAGGATAAAAATGTGATGAAAAAAGTTGAAACAACATTTATGCAATTAAAATATAGTGCGATTATAAAAAATCGTGGTATGAATATATTTAGCCTCAAAATAATGAAGGTCGTGTATTTGACGTTATGACATTTTTTCCCCTAAAAAAGGGTGCAACGCGAGACTCGCTTACATCATGGTATTTTGGATGCTTTTCATTCAACCGGAGACCACAAGTTCTACGAAATTGTTAAGATGGGGAAATAAATGCTAAATGAATAGTTTGAGTCTCGTTTTCTATTAAGTCAATAGGTTGAGGACTTGCTGTAATTTTTCTAGGAATTATGAAGTAATATCTGGTGAACCATAAAATGGATTATTTCAAAATTCCAAAAACAAATATCCTGGGAAAAGAAAAAGGAAATAACAAAAACTTAATTTCCTTTGTTATTTGTCTGCGTGTCACAGTCATTCATTATAATTTCAATTCTAACAATTACTATAAATTATGAGAATTTTCAAAGGTAATTCTTGAAGTCTTCAAAAGTAAAATGTATATGGTTTCTAAATTTTATAATATTTGAAATGAAAAAGTTTTAAAATAAAAAAATAACTTATTTTATTTCCATTGGCAAAAAAATCCGACAAATCCGATATCCGCGGGGCCCCGCTCCGAACGGGACGAGGATTACCCGCTTAATAGGGTATTCGGGGCGGGGACAAGTCGGAGAATTTTTCCCCGGCCCCGCCCCGCCCCGCCCCGCCCCGCCTCATTTAATTTTATTATTATTATTATTATTATTAAGAATTCAATATTTTAAATGAAAAATTTTATTAGTTCTAATAGAAAATGATAACTAAAATTATTTGTCTCAATCTAATGAATTGGAGTAATAAAATAAATTATCAAAAACTTAAAAAAAAAAAAAAAAAATTAAGCCCCAATTTGGTATATCTTCTTTCAAAACTCATTTTCAACTACACATTCTTCAATTTTTCATTATATCAATAATTTTTTCTTATTTTTTAATTACATATTTCTCATAATCTCACTGTTTAAAATACATTCCCGCCCCGCACCATCCCATCCCACTGTCATTCCTACTGAACTTTGAATGAGTTATAATTCAATCATAATCATCTTTATCTTAATTTACTTTAAATTGTCGCCATTATCTATATATTGTAGGTAGAGGTGTTATTCAAGGAATAAATACATTTTTTTTTTTTTTCATGAACTCTCTTTTCGTCCACGACAATTGTCACAATTCACCATCAAATACTCTTTTTTTTTTTTTTTATTAACTCTCTTTTCGTCCACAACAATTCACCATCTCCTCCTACTTATTTACTCTCTTTTCTTCTCATCAACTCCTTTCAACAATCCAACAAAATTAAAATCAAATTTCAAGGTTGCTACGGTCGATTTTCAAATCTAATCCGATTTTGATTTGATTTTTGTTTGTGGGAGGAGGGTTGACGTTCCGTCATTATTGTGGTATGAGTGATGGTGCTCATAAAAGAAGGTGGTCGTGGTCGTGATGAGGGAACGTGAAAGTGGAGATGGTAGTTGTGTTTATGGTGACGATGGTGATTACAAGGGGGCTAGTGGTGGTGGATATATGGGTGGTGAAATATGTACACATAGTTTTATAAAATTTATTGAAAAATAATTAAAATAAAAATGGAATATTATTATTTTGAGAATGAGAAACAGGTTTTAAAGTGTTAGTGGTGAAATGTTCATTATAATCTTTTGATGAAAAGTTGCACTTTTTAACGATCAAGTCTATAGAATCTATTCGTTGAAACTGACTTCCCATAAATTTAAAAGGCTGGAGATTGTTCGATAAAAAGAAAAAAATTAATCATATACTATAATTTACAAGACAAATGGCCAATCTTTTTCGTAAAAGTTAATGTAGGATTTGTGATTCAATTGGTTACAAAAAAGTCATTATATGTGGCTTGTTCTTTAGCTTCTCTAAAGAAATACAGATGAAAGATGAGACAAAAAGGCTTCAATTATTTTTGGAATTTTGCTTATGAGACATCATTTTACAAAATTAGGATACTTTACGCCCCTCTTTGATTCCCATTTAAAAAAAAAAAAAATATTATTCTTTCAGAACTTATTTTCAACCGCACATTATTTAATAAAATAATATTACACGCAAATTCAAAAAAAAATTCTTATTTTTTAATCACATATTTTTCATCACATCACATCATAAAATACATTCTTTTTTCAATAACGTGTATCAAACAACCTTAAAAATAAAGGTAAAACGAACTAAAATAGTTTTTACCAGTCAAAGTAAAGCATCATTACTTTTATATTTATATGAATCGTGCATGCATTAAATAAATACAACAAAATCAAACTTTTTATCTAACTGCTGTCCTCCGCCGTTGTATCCAGCTCCTGTCGGTTTCTATCTTCTACAAATCCGAAATCCCCACACAAGCATAATCTATATATATACACGCACACAAACAAACACAAACACAAACACATACGGTTTGTCTATTCTGCAGAAAATAATACACTGATTTTATTATTGTTTATTGATTGAAAGTAAAAGAAAGTTAAGGAAAGACGAGAGAGAGGAAATGACGCCGGCGAGGATTCAGGTCGTAGCGATAGTGGTGCTGGCAGTGACGGAGGTGGTGCTTGGTGGCGGAGGGAAAAGCTTGACGTTGACCCTGGAGAGGGCGAGTCACAAAGGGGCGGAGCTGAGTCAACTCAGGAACCGTGACCTAATTAGGCACGGCAGAATCTTGCAGCAACGTCCTTCTGGAGTCGTTGATCTCCCTGTTGAAGGCACCTATGATCCATTTCTTGTAGGGTACGCACATGTATATGAATTCACCTCGTTTCTCTCTCTATAAAATATGTGTATGCATGTATGTATGTATGTGTATATATTTATTGAAAGTAGAGTATTATATAACTTATTCCTAGTCTTGAATTTGGAATTTTTACATGTACTGCTTTTATGGATAATAAGTAGAAAGTCAATTTCTTTATTATTGATTGTAATAAATTTTGGCCGCCCCTTCTACTCAAAATATTTGATGTTTTGATTTAGAGTTATAGTATTTGTATGAAATTATACACCCTTTTTAACCACGAGTTTATACCATTTTTTTTCTTGGGGTTACAATTAATACGTGGTTTATTTTATTTTATTTTTTTATTGGGCAGCTTTTAATTGATTGATGTATTGGAATAGTTTATTGATTAAATTGAAACTTACTGGAGCTTGTGAATCTTGCTTTCAAGGCTATACTATACAAGAGTTCAATTGGGGAGTCCTCCTAAAGAATTCTATGTGCAAATAGATACTGGAAGTGATGTTTTGTGGGTCAGTTGCAATTCCTGTAATGGTTGCCCCACATCCACTGGACTCAAAGTAAATACATCAATAGTTAATGGAAACTTTTCATCAGATTTCCCCTTAATTTCTTTTCGAAGTTTTGCTCATTTATTGGTAGAATTTGTTTCCTCTTAACAGATTCAGCTCGAGCTCTTTGATCCTTCGAGATCATCAACAGCTTCTCTTATATCATGTTCAGATCAAAGGTGTGCTTTGGGAGCAGAGTCTTCAGATTCAAGCTGTTTAAATCAAAACCAATGTGGTTACAAGTTCCAATATGGTGACGGAAGTGGAGCATCAGGTTATTATGTATCAGACTTGATGTATTTCGACACAATTGTTGGTGATTCATCGACTTCAAATTCATCAGCACCTGTTGTTTTTGGGTAACCTCTTTATCTATTTGTTTTGTACATTAGAGTGGACAAAACTGGACATGACGACAAACAAACATTTTATAAATTTCGCCTTTAATCACATCTAATCTAGTGCTTTCCTGTGCTATTTTGATGCAGTTGTAGCACATCACAGACTGGGGATCTTGTCAAATCTGATAGGGCTGTTGATGGTATATTTGGCTTCGGACAGCAGGGCTTATCCGTGGTTTCTCAACTTTTTTCACAGGGAGTTGCCCCTAAAGCATTTTCTCATTGCTTGAAAGGAGATAATGGTGGGGGTGGTATATTGGTGCTGGGGCAGATTGTGGAGCCAAACATAGTCTTCACCCCACTAGTCCCATCACAGTATGTATTCAATCGGTTTGACAATTTTCATGACTGGTATTTGTTTTCAGTTCCATCGCCAAGTTTACCTTTCATCCCTTGACTATTGGAATCTGATTACGTTTAGTATTTGTTTACTTGAGATCTTGAAAGTTTGATTTTGCTTGCTTGGTGTGATTTCACTATTAATACTTCTACATGATTGACTTAAGTCTTTAAGTGAAAGTTGTGTCAACAGATTCTTTATTTGATTTAAATTTTGTGTCTATTTTTGTTCAAATATTAAAAGTTGAATAGTGAAAAGTAAACAGGCTAGTTGTGGAGTCTTCATGATTTGGTGCAAGAAACTGTTATTGCTCTGAAGTTTTATCTTTACTCTGGAACTGAGAAACTGGAAAGACAATGAGCCAGCACTCAATTCCTCGAGGTTTTGATTTCTGAAAGCAGGATTATTCTAAAAGGTCGAAAAAGCGAAAAAAGAAGGGGGATATTAGTCGCAGATTTTTAATTGTATCTCCTTCACTCCTTCCCACTATAACTAGGATGAAAAAGGAGACTGTCAATACATCCGAGAAGAACAATTAACATGATGTGCATTACAATTTGGTTTTGATTTGGCAAACGTACAGTGCGATAACTGTAAATTTTAGCTTATAAGATATCTGTTTAGTTGCTTACCTGCCAAAATGAGCAAATATATGTACAAGTTCTTATGTTTTGGGAAATCTGAGCTGCAATCCTTTTCATTTTGTAGTTATAACTGTGCATTTATTGCTCAATCTTGATTTTCAATGATTTGCAGTACATATCAGTCGGCTTTGTGGTGCTACTTTTCTTTATTTCAATGTGGTGCACTTCTATGTATCACTCCTAGAACTGTCCAATATCGCTATTGCATTGAGTTGTCTGCCAAAAGTTCGGAGTTTTGAAGCACACTAACGCTTCAGTTTGACATATTCTTTCCATGTCCAAATTTCAGGCCACACTATAACCTAAATTTGCAGAGCATTTCTGTTAATGGGCAGGAGTTATCCATTGATCCATCAGTATTTGCAACATCTACTAACCGGGGGACAATAGTTGACTCCGGAACAACTTTGGCATACCTTGCAGAAGAGGCCTATGATCCTTTCATTACTGCAGTAAGTTGCAGGGGGGAGAATTTCCTGATTTGTGGTTAATTCACACAAGGAACTCATACAGCACTTGACAAGCTACATCTTGAACCATAAATGTTTCAAAATTATTTCTCTGTAATTTTCATGTGTATTATACTATATGTTCTCCTATGCAGATTACGCAAGCTGTTTCCACATCAGCACGTCCTCTTCCTTCCAAGGGAAACCAGTGCTATTTAACGACCTCCAGGTTTTCTTCTGAGTGCAATATACTTATTGACATTTCGTCCGTCATTTACTGCTATTTATTTTTTTTCATTTGTTTATATCCAGTGTCTCCGTGGCATTTCCCTCGGTTAGTTTAAACTTTGCTGGCGGTGCATCAATGGTACTAAAGCCTAATGATTACCTTTTACAGCAGAACTCTATTGTAAGTCATGTTTGACATTTGTTTGTAGTATTGCCTTAGTTTTCAGAATTTATCACTGATTGTGACGGGGAAGTATGGCCCCTTCTATCCCTCCTTTGAATTGCACACACGTTGCAATGCTAAGTTTGAGAATTGTTGATTACTGAGAGTTTGTGCTTCACCTGCATTACTTTTCTAGATTATGGAAGAATACCTCAACAAATAAGACAAACATCTTTTTCCATCCTCGTCAATGGCAACTGCAAATCTGTCATTGGTCCCCATTGAGTTTCATTTAAAATTCCAGCTGACTTCTAGTTCCTCGTCCTTTTCAAATCTGAATTTTTAGAGAATGCTTAAATGTATTGAAGAAAAAGCAAATCTCGTAATTGAACTTAAATATAACTTCTCCATTAATTTCTCTGCTAAGGATTGACCATCTTTCTCTTTAAGATTGGAGTAGACCCTTTTTCTGAGATACAGTAGTTTGTGTTATGATATTCTTTTCGACAGAAACTCTAAAACGGACATATTGTTCTTTAAATAACATTTGGGTATTTGCCATTATTTGCACGTGCAGAGTGGTGCTGCAGTTTGGTGCATTGGCTTTCAGAAAATTCAAGGTTCAGGGCTTTCAATTTTAGGAGGTATGAGCATTGAAGGAAAACGAAAGTAATCTCGCCTTGAGATTCATTTCTTGCATGAAAACACATTTAATAGATACTTATGCTCGCATTTTTCTGCTCCCTGCCCTGTCTGCACGAGCACATATACACATACATCTATTTGCACGTTACTTTTGTAAACGTATGTGAGCACCTCCCATTGATCATTGTCAAACTAATTCTTCTACATTAGTTACACTCCCATTAGATATTACCTATTTCCAACTTGTCACTACAACAAAAAGAGTCATTCGTAATATTAAAAGGCAACATTTGTTGATAAATGTTGCTAAAATGATCTTTTGGCAACATTTCAGTAAGTGAATGTTGTCATTGGTTAGTATAAATGAGTTTTGGCAACGTTTTTTAAAAAAATGTTGCAATAGACCCATTTTCGCAACGTTTGTTGAGTGTTGCAGATGTTTTATTTTTCGCAACGTTTGGCAAACTTTGCGAAAAGTGAGACTTTTAGCAACGTTTGCCTAACGTTGCGAAAAATAAAACTTTTAGCCAAACGTTGCGAAAAGTGAGACCTTTAGCAACGTTTATCAAATGTTGCAAAAAAGTTTTTTTTTTTCCCCCCAAATCATCTTCCCCCAAATCCACCCTCCATTTCAATTCAATTTCATCCTGGCTCGACACTCGCCTCTCACCTCTACGTCTCCTCCAGCCAGCCTCGGGGTCGCAGCTCAGTGCCGGTGATTCGGCTTCTTCCTTCTTCATCTAGTGGATTTTCATATTTCCGTTATGTTAAGTGCATTTTGTACTGAGTTCATTCATTACTATCATATTTATTCTTCGTTTTTTGTCTTTGTTCCACTCGTCTTTTTCCAGACCTTGTTCTGAAAGATAAGGTTGTTGTTTATGATTTAGCTGGTCAACAGATTGGATGGACCGATTATGACTGTAAGTTTGATTCCTTTTTCAGCTATGTATCAATGATTTGGGTGTATTTATTAGCCTCAAAGCAGTATCTTGATCTTTATTCTAACTCGAGTATTTAACTTCATATCATACAGGTTCATCGTCTGTCAATGTCTCGACAACTGCTAATACTGGTAAAACCGCATTTGTCAATGCTGGAGAAATTTATAAGAGTTCATCAACCTGCAATCACTACAATCCAGTACCAACTGCGCTTGTAGCTTTGTTGTTGCGTGTTTTAGTGTTTGGGATCTTTACATTTCTATAGCATCCATGAAAGTCGATTTCTAAAAACCATTTTTTCTATAGAGTTTTTCCAGATTTTATTTGTAGCAACCAGCAGCTCTGTCATGTATATTTAACTGCAGCTGTCAGTTGCTCCTTCGTCATTAGTATAGAATTACCCTGACCATTATGGTTCTGTTGTGCACTGGAATTATATGGGAATCCTATGTTCCCTTTATGCGACAATAATGTAATTACAACATGTTTTATCTATAGAAGATGATATTTCTGTGGGACATAAATTATACGAACAGGGAATGTTCATTCGTACTGCTGAACTTATGCTCCCAGTGTTTGAACGTTATGCTGCGTTTGCTTAGTTGCAGTGAAGCTGCTTAGTCGACGATGGAAGGGTTTTCGTTGTACATGGAAATCCTAAATACAAGCACGGAATTCCAGTACTATAACTAACATTTGACAATTAAACCATCAGGGAGGGTGTCAAACCCTCCCTGGCAGCCCAAACATTGTTCAACATTTGAAATGTTTCAAATGTCTGATAATCAAAAGAATAATGTTATTTATCATTATAATGATGAAATATCGATGATGTAGCAACTTATGTGGAATAATGGAATAGGACAGTTCAATCCCCTCTCACACGAAAATTGATGTCATATCCAATTATTCTATCTAAGTGGTAGAGGTTGTCATATCATCGGCATTTCCTCATAATAATAATAAATAGCATTATGCAGAAATTAACATGTCATACCATCCCCTTGCTATTCATTACAGAACCAGTTTAAATCAACAATATTGGCTCCCTGCGAGAAGTTGATGCACGCCCAGAATTCCACTTTACTATCATATTTATATCCTTAATGTTTTGGCCGTCTTCTTATCTTAAACTTGCATTAATTAGCAAATTTTGTCCTTCCTGGATTTTGTCCAAACATTTTTAGAGTATGTATTAAATGATATTTAACTGAAATATTATTTAAAAATGCGAAGGACATATAAGTCATTTAAGGACAAGATGCATTGATTAATGAAAAAAATGACGATAAAATGTAATAAAAAAATTGGAGACGAAAATATAGCAATGAATAAAATTTATGGATCTTTCATGCAATAAAAATATAGTACAATAGATGGTAAAAAATTGTGACGTGAATGTCTTGACCTACTTGTTTTGTAGAATTTAATTGCAATGACCAACTTTTATGAATCTTAAAAATTGATTACTAAAATACCATAAGTTTTGAATGGGGAATTCGATTATTTATTTACGCGTATAGACAAGAAATCGGAAATACAATTTCCGGTAAAAAGATTCTCTAAATAAAAGAAAATTTTATTTTATCGGGATAAGGAAATAATTTTTTTTTTTTCCATTTTAGTACCATAACATAAAAACATGACATTACTTTCTTTGGCTAAGTAGGTATAACCTTTTCATAACAAGTATTCCCTCCATTCCACTTATATAGACTGACTTGTGTTATTTTGTTATTTCAATTATATAGTCTTGTTTCTTTATTGAGAATGTTTTGTTTGGTTCATTTACTAATATACTCTTATTTCTTTACTAATTCCAACAAAAAATTACTGTTAATTGTTGATAATTAAATAAGTGTAAACTAGAAAAGTTTTTGATAAAAAATTACTTTTTCAATAACATTAAATAAGATTTCTTAGTCTGTGAAAAAAAAATCAACTTATATAAATGGGATATTGGGAGTATTTGGCTTGAACGAGAGTTCGTAGTTACATCAGGATATTTGTTGGCATTATCAAGTCAATTCATGCTATTATCAAAATTGTGCCCATCTTAATGTGAATTCTCCTTTTTCACCCTACAACAATATTGTATTATTGTTTCATTTTTAAAGATCAATCTTGTTAAAAGGAATATCTCAATTTATGACTTGAATATCTAAATTGGCACGACTCTAGATTTAAATCAACCAACTCACAACATACTTAGCCCCTATTTGGTAGGAAATAAAATTTAGATTTTAATATAAGTTAACAGTTAATTTTAACAGCACATTTCATGGGATTCATAATTTTTCAACTTTCATCAAAATTTCATAAAAATCTGATTTTGGTGCTTACCTATTTAAGGATTTGACTTCCACGAGCTGGGTGACCCGCAGTGGGATTGTTTTATTTGGAAATTACAAAAGAGAAAAAAAAAAAATTTAATCCATTCTTTAATAATATATGTTGTGACTTTTAAGATGAAAAAAGGCAGCATTCATTCAAATTGATGAATTCCATCCAATTCATTTGACCAGCATACTAAAAATTTAAAAGGTTAAAAAGTCCAAAAGCCTGTTTGATTTAAATTAAAATTCAATTAAAATCTCAAGTCAAGTCAACACTTAATTTTAATTTAACCACACATTTTATGGAATCTACAATTTTTTAACCACATATTTCATTAATTTTTATCAAAAATTACTAAAAATCTGATTTTAATCTCTACAAAATAGGGGCTTAATTGCAATATTATAATATGAAAATGAAAATTCATATAACATAAATAAAATTTTTAAAATTTTGTTTTCTTCCACCTCATACCCTCTGTCACCACCACGCTACTAGTTAGGAGGAGAAAAAAATGACAAAACTAGCGAAATTTCTCAACCCACTCCCATGAGCCACAGACTTGAAAGACTCGACCCGAGTTTTCAAGTCAGCAACCTCACAATACTTTTGGGCAAATAAGACTAGACTCCCCTTGAATAATCTTGTTTACCCCCAAGATCAAGTGGGACCGTCACTACGGATGACAAAAAAAATTAGACAAACCCGATATCCGCTGGGTCTCGTCCCGAACGAGGCGGGGAAAACCCACTTAAACGGATAACGGGATGGGACGGGAGGGAAATTTTGCCCCGGTGTGGGGAAGGGTAACGGGGTCCCTGCCCCGTTATGCAGGGTCCCGCCCCGAACGAGGCGGGAATAACCCGCTTAAACAGGTAAAGGGGGCCCAACCCAGCCCCGTTAAATTTTTTTTTTTTTTTTTTTTTTTAGAATTCAATACTTTAAATGAAAATTTTCATTAGTTCTAATCGAAAATGCAACTAAAATTATTTGTCTAAATCTAATGAATATGGGCAATAAAAATAAATTATAAAAAAAAAAAATTAAACGAGGAATAAACGAGGAAATGACCCGACCCGACCCTACCCTATCCCACCCGAGGGATAAACGGGTAACGAGGCGGGGACAGGGCGAGGAATCTCTCAGAGGGGCGCGGAGGGCCGCCCCGCCTCGTTGCCATTCCTAACCGTGACAAGTTTATTCAAATATGTAAAAATAAAATAAAAATAATAATTAAAAAAAAAATACTCCTTAGTGATATTGGTTGTTTTTTAGAACTTTATTTATAAATTTGAAGTCAGGCGGAAATGAAATATAGACACGAAAAAGATAGATCATCGGCTTCATTTTTAGTATTATGTCCATATTATTTGTATTTGTTTGTCTTTTCTTTTCATATTTCTTAATTGTCAAGGGTGGTGTCTTTTTTCCTTTTTTATAGGCGCAACATTAGGGTTTACAATCGCTACTGTTTCAGGGTTTTAAATCGTGAAGAATTTACTGTGCACTCCTAATCCTACTCAATTTAATCTTCTATACTACGAATTCAGATGGAAAAACAATACCATCAGAAAGTTTTATCTATAAATACTGCAATGAATTCAAAGAAATCTTTGATCACAACCCTCTTCAGAAAGAGATATACACAGCAAATATCTTCCTCCGTTTCTTGATGGAAGAAGAACGCGTAGAGAAGAAAAGAATGAGATTGAATGAACTACCAACAGACATATTAATAGACGTGCTATCGAGACTCCCTGAGAAGTCTCTTTGCAGGTTCACCTGTGTTTCCAAAGAATGGCATAGCTTGATATCTTCTCCTCATCCTGGCTTTGTCAAAGCTTTGCGCCGCCAACGTCTTCATCAAAAATCTTATCTATATTTTTGGAATAGTAGTCTTGCAGACGAATATTTTGATCCGGATGTGGAAGATTGCACTCTTCGCGTGTCCATCGTGGACACAGTTAACGAAAGGATTCAGGACAGTTACCATCTCCCTATTATGGATACTGTCTTTCATTCAGTAATCTCGTGTCATAATCTTTTATGTTTGGTTGAGAGAGAAATTTCTATTTGTAATCTGAGCACCCAAGAGAAAGCAATTCTTCCTGATCCTGATCCTGATCATCTTGGTCCTGTAGGTGTAGGTTTAGGGTACTCATCTGTTGCAAAAGAATTCAAATTTGTTCGGTGGTTTATACGGAAGAAGGATCTCAGAACGAGTATGGGGTGTGAAATCTTCAGTCTAACTGATCGTCTCAGATTCAAATCAGATTCGTGGAGATTGACAGAAACACGTCCTTTTGAATTCCTTGGCAAGCCTTCTGTGTTTGTTAATGGAATGATTTTTTGGCTGATACTTAACCCAACGTTTCTGAGTTTTTTCGAAACCAGTTCTATTCTTGCCTTGGATTTGGATGGGGAAGAATCCCAAATCGTTTCATGCCCAAAGCTCAGTCCTGATAGCATTTCCTACTTGATAGAGTTAAAGGAGTGTTTATATTTGGCGCGTTGTTCGAATGGAAAAGCAATTGTGAAAATGTGGAGGCTGGAAGACCCAAAAAATAGTGTGTGGGTTTCAGAATATTACTTCAGTTTTTCATCTATGTGTAACACCATTGTGCCACTAACAAGTGTATTGGCTGGTCACGTTGAAGAGCTGGTTTTTATTTCGATAAAAGGCAAAGGTCTCCTTTACTATAATGTAGAATCCGGTACAATGAGAAAACCCGAAAACTTGGAGAATTTTAACCTGCTATGGTCTGAATTTCCTTGTGTCTTGAAGTACATGGAGTTCTAAACAGTGACAGTTTGCTGAGAAATCAGTAATTTTATTTCATTCATCTTTTATACATGATGATCTGCAGGATGACTTGTATACTCTACACATATATCTAAGGTCTCTGCTTTAATCTGTTCCATTTATTG